AAACGCACTTCAAAGAATTGCAGTGTTTGAAGATGTAGATTCTCAGGAGGCAACAGTACTGTTGACTTCTCCCTCCACTGGACACCAACTAACTATTTAAGTTGATTTGCATACAAAGCAGAGCTTGCAACATGATAGCTATTCATAAAGGGTGTTTTTTTTTTTACTTTTCATATAATACAGTAGTCACACAATGAGGCAGTTCATATTTGTCTCAGTGAATCATTAATTTTTGACAGACACCTGTACAAAATACTTGGACTAAAGCCAGCTAACATTTTCTGTTATTTTGCATGTTTTATGAATCTATTCACATCTAAATGCAGCACTTTTTTTTTCAATGAGACATTTGTTTTTATATTAAAATATCTGAATTACTTTGAATAAAGCTGGAAATTATGTCCCTTAAACAATTAAACAAATAAGGCACAAATGTTTTTGTAAGATATTTACATCTTTAAAGGACATTCAGTAGACTGATTCCCCACTGTTGGTTCAACCCCAAAACTTGTTTGTATTCAAAATTAATTATGACAATGCATATTTATATTGAAACAAACTATGATAAAGGGAATTATATTATATAACAAAGGGCAAGGTCACCAGAGTTCAACTATGTTTTGAATGGTTGACTTTGTACAATACAAATAATGTTTAACTTTACAAACAAAGGTTACAGGACAGAACTTGTGTGTATATTCATACTTAGAATTTTTTTTTTTTCAGCGGAAGTACAAGCCGAAATTGAGAGAATCTTTGAGTTGGCACGGTCTATGCAGCTGATTATTTTGGATTGTGATACAATCAATCATCCTGCACAGCTCGCTAAGACATCACTAGCTCCAGTTATAGTCTACCTAAAAATAGCTAATCCTAAAGTAAGTGCACAGCCCCAGACTAAGTGGTTTTTTTCCACTCATCCAGGGGCCTGACTTGTTTGTACACACTTGTTTATTGGGCAGACAACGCACACTCGTACAAGGTCTGGACTGTGCATACTCATCCAGGGTTCAAATTACACACACTCCTCCAGGGTCTGGACTGCACACACTCCTCCAGGGTCCTGACTACACACACTCATCCAGGGTTTGGACTGCACAAACTCCTCCAGGGTTGGCTACACACCTTCCTCCAGGGTCCGGACTGCATGCACTTCTCCAGGGTCCGGACTACACACCTTCCACCAGGGTCCAGGACTACACACCTTCCACCAGGGTCCAGACTACACACCTTCCACCAGGGTCCAGACTACATACCTTCCACCAGGGTCCAGACTACATACTTCCACCAGGGTCCAGACTACACACCTTCCTCCAGGGTCCAGACTACACACCTTCCACCAGGGTCCAGACTACACACCTTCCACCAGGGTCCAGACTACACACCTTCCACCAGGGTCCAGACTACACACCTTCCACCAGGGTCCAGACTACACACCTTCCACCAGGGTCCAGACTACACACCTTCCACCAGGGTCCAGACTACACACCTTCCGCCAGGGTCCAGACTACATACCTTCCGCCAGGGTCCAGACTACACACCTTCCGCCAGGGTCCAGACTACATACCTTCCACCAGGGTCCAGACTACATACCTTCCACCAGGGTCCAGACTACATACCTTCCACCAGGGTCCAGACTACATACCTTCCACCAGGGTCCAGACTATACACCTTCCACCAGGGTCCAGACTACACACCTTCCTCCAGGGTCCAGACTATACACCTTCCTCCAGGGTCCAGACTACACACCTTCCTCCAGGGTCCAGACTACACACCTTCCTCCAGGGTCCAGACTACCACACCTTCCTCCAGGGTCCAGACTACACACCTTCCTCCAGGGTACCAGACTACACACCTTCCTCCAGGGTCCAGACTACACACCTTCCTCCAGGGTCCAGACTACACACCTTCCTCCAGGGTCCAGACTAC